GATATTCATTCTCGTTTCACTATTTTAAACTCTGGGAGATATGATGTTAAATAAAATACACACTGCCCATAGCATTTTCAGTATTATCGCAACCTGAACAATGAAAAGGAGAATAAATATCCAACAGCAAAGCATAAGTTGGGGTGTTGTGCTGACTGGTTGCTCTGTTTTCCTATTGGCTGTAATTTGATGACGTTACCTCTTATTCCACCAATCACAGTTAAGTAAGAGATTACTGAAAGAATGCAATATTTACGACACCAGTATCCATTTTTTGGGGGCGCCGCCTCCCCTAGGAGGACCTATTGTGAGCCACAGGCGTTGGCAGGGTCCCTGGGAGCAGTGGCGCCCTCCTAGTGGCAGTGGGTGTCTTTCCAGGGGCGGCAGGATCTCTGCCAGGGGCGACGGCGCCCCCAGGGGCCCTTCCACATGCAGCTTTACCCCAAGAACTTCATATTTTTGTCGTACATTTTGCATTCGTCCAGTAATCCCTTACTTAAACGTGATTGGTGGAGTAAGATGTGACGTCATAAAATTACAGCCAATAGGAGAACAGAGCAATCAGTCAGCACAACACCCCAACTTATGCTTTACTGTTGGATATTTATTCTCGTTTCACTATTTTAAACTCTGGGAAATATGATGTTAAATAAAATACACACTGCCCATAGCATTTTCAGTATTATCGCAACTTGAACAATGAAATGGAGAATAAATATCCAACAGCAAAGCATAAGTTGGGGTGTTGTGCTGGTTTATGTTTTAATGGCTGTATGAATGGCGTCACCTCACCAATCACAATTGAAAATAAGTTACTGAAAAGAATCTAATATTTAACACCAGTATCCCATTTTTGGGGCGCCACTTGCTCCCTAGGAGACCTATTGTGAGCCACAGGCGTGGCAGGGGTCCCTGGGGCAGTGGCGCCCTCTGAGTGGCAGTGGGTGTCTTTCCGGGGTGACAGGATCTGCCAGGCTGGCCAGCGCCCAGGGGCCTTCACATGCAGCTTTACCCCCGGAACTTCATATTTTTTGTCGTACATTTTGCATTCGTCCAGTAATCTCTTATAGCATGATTGGTGGAGTAGATGTGACGTCATAAAATTACAGCCAATAGGAGAACAGCGCAATCAGTCAGCACAACACCCCAACTTATGCTTTGCTGTTGGATATTTATTCTCGTTTCACTATTTTAAACTCTGGGAGATATGATGTTAAATAAAATAGACACTGCCCATAGCATTTTCAGTATTATCGCAACCTGAACAATGAAAAGGAGAATAAATATCCAACAGCAAAGCATAAGTTGGGGTGTTGTGCTGACTGGTTGCTCTGTTTTCCTATTGGCTGTAATTTGATGACGTTACCTCTTATTCCACCAATCACAGTTAAGTAAGAGATTACTGAAAGAATGCAATATTTACGACACCAGTATCCATTTTTTTGGGGCGCCGCCTCCCCTAGGAGGACCTATTGTGAGCCACAGGCGTTGGCAGGGTCCCTGGGAGCAGTGGCGCCCTCCTAGTGGCAGTGGGTGTCTTTCCAGGGGCGGCAGGATCTCTGCCAGGGGCGACGGCGCCCCCAGGGGCCCTTCCACATGCAGAAATTACAGCCAATAGGAGAACAGAGCAATCAGTCCTTTCTCACTAACTTATGCTTTGCTGTTGATATTTATTCTCGTTTCACTATTTTAAACTCTGGGAGATATGATGTTAAATAAAATACACACTGCCCATAGCATTTCAGTATTATCGCCGTCCGTCCATCACAATTCAGTATCATTGCATCCTGAACAATGAAGTTGACAAATATCCAACAGGAAAACATAAGTTGGGGTGTTGTGCTGACTGACTGCTCTGTTCTCCTATTGGCTGAAATTTGATGGTCTTACATTTTAGTCCACCAATCACAGTTAAGTAAGGGATTACAAATTGAATGTATCGCCACTATCAAAGCCTCTGGGGTGCCGCCGCCCGCCCAGGCGGGGCTGTCGCCCCAGCAGGGACACTGTTGCCTCTGGAAGGCCTCTGCCGCCTCTATGAAGGTCCCTAAGGGCGCTGCGACCCCTGGGAGAACATAGGTCAGTCGCTACTCAAGAGAGGGCCTCTGAGGTCGGCAAAGCACCTGGAATGTCTCTGGGAACCGCCGCCCCTGGCAAGTCTGTGGTCAGTGGCGCTCCTCAGATGGACCCTGGGAAAAGCAAAGCCCATGGAAGAGCCCCTGTAGAATACCGCTGTACCTGGGAGGGCCTCTGGGGCAATGGGCGCTGTAGAGGGACCTAGAGGAGCCACCGCCTCCTAGGGACCCCTAAAACCACCTCCCATTGCTAGGCCCCTCAGGGGCACCACAGTCCCTGGAAACACCCCTGGGCGCTACCGTCCTGGGAGTGCTTCTGAGTGTGTGGCTGTCCCTGGAAGAGCCCCTGAGGGCGTTGTCGTCTCTGGGGGCTCCTGGGGCTACAATGTCCATGAAAAGAGCTCCTGAGGCATCATTCTTGGTGCCTGATGGCACTGACGTCCCTAGGACGGCCTCTGAGAGTACTGCTGTCTGAAAGAGACACTGTGTGCGCCAACGCTCCCGGGAGGCACTCATGGGCGCCACCACATTTGGGAGGCCCCTGAGGGCACTGCTGTCCCTGAGAATTCCCCAGGTGGCGTGGTATCCACTGGGGTTTTTGTTTTGCACTATTTAAAACTGTGGTAGATATGACGGTAAAATACACCTCCCATCACAATTCAGTATCATTGCATCTGAACAATGAAAATTGACTAAATATCCAAGGAAAACATAAGTTGGGGTGTTGTGCTGACTGACTGATCTGTTCTCCTATTGGCTGTAATTTGAGTGGACTTACCTGTTAGTCCACCAATCACAGTTAAGTAAGGATTGCTGAACGAATGCAATATGTACAGCCGCCACTACGTCAAGTATCTGGGTTCGCCTCCCTTTGGAAGCACCCAAGGGCACTGTCGCCCCTAGCATGGTCCCTGTTGCCCTGGGAAGGCCTCTGCCGCCTCTAAGAAGGCCCCTGGGGGCTCCTGGATCAAGGGAGAACCCATAGGTGAGTTGCTGCTCCAGGACCTCTGACTTGACCAAAGCACCTGGAATGTCTCTGGGAGGCACCGCTGCCCCTGGCAGGGTCTGTGGTCAGTGGCGCTCCTCAGATGGACCCTGGGGAAGAAACCGCCCATGGAGAGCCCTCAGGCAACCCCTGTACCTGGAGGGCCTCTGGGGCAATGGCGCCTGAACCCAGAGGAGCCACCGCTTATAAGGACCCCCAAAGGCTCCACCTCTGTTAGCAAGGCCCTCGGGCACCAGATCCCTGGAAACACCCCTGGGCGCGCTACCGTCCCTGGGAGTGCTTCTGAGTGTGTGGCTGTCCCTGGAAGAGCCCCTGAGGGCGTTGTCGTCTCTGGGGGGCTCCTGGGAGCTACAATGTCCATGAAAGAGCTCCTGAGAGCATCATTGCCCCTGCAGTGCCCCTGATGGCACTGACGTCCCTAGGACGGCCTCTGAGAGTACTGCTGTCCCTGGAAGAGACACTGTGTGCGCCAACGCTCCTGGGAAGGCCTCTGTGGGCGCCACCACATTTGGGAGAGCCCCTGAGGGCACTGCTGTCCCTGAGAGTGCCCCGGGTGGCGTGGTATCCACTGGGGTTTTTTGTTTTTGCACTATTTAAAACTGTGGTAGATATGACGGTAAAAAAATACACCTCCCATCACAATTCCAGTATCATTGCATCCTGAACAATGAAAAGTTGACTAAATATCCAACAGGAAAACATAAGTTGGGGTGTTGTGCTGACTGACTGATCTGTTCTCCTATTGGCTGTAATTTAGTGGACTTACCTGTTAGTCCACCAATCACAGTTAAGTAAGGGATTGCTGGACGAATGCAATATGTACGACGCCACTGTCAAGTATCTGGGGTCGCCTCCGCCCTTGGAAGCACCCCAGGGAGCACTGTCGCCCCTAGCATGGTCCCTGTTGCCCCTGGGAAGGCCTCTGCCGCCTCTAAGAAGGCCCCTGGGGGCTCTGCGATCCCTAGGAGAACCCATAGGTGAGTTGCCGCTCCAGAGAGGACCTCTGACTTCGGCAAAGCACCTGGAATGTCTCTGGGAGGCACCGCTGCCCCTGGCAGGGGGGTCTGTGGTCAGTGGCGCCCATCAGAGGTACCCTGGGGAAGCCACCGCCCCTGGAAGAGCCCCTGTGGGCACCACTGTTCCTGGGAGGGCCTCTGGGGCAATGGCGCTTCTTAGAGGGACCCTAGAGGAGCAACCGTCACTGGAAGGGCCCCTGAAGGCTCCACCCCTGTTAGCAAGGCCCCCTCGGGGCACCACAGTCCCTGGAAAAACTCCTGGGCCCGCTACCGTCCCTGGGAGGGCCCCTGAGTACGTGGCTGTACCTGGAAGAGCCCCTGGAGACGTTGCCGTCTCTGGGGTGCTCCTGGGAGCGTCATTGCCTCTGGCAGTGACCCTGATGGCACCGACGTCCCTAGGACGGCGTCTGAGAGCACTGCTGTCCCTGGAAGAGACCCTGGGTGTGCCAACGCTCCTGGGAAGGCCTCTGTAGGCGCCACCACCTTTGGGAGAGCCCCTGAGGGCACTGCCATCCCTCAGATGGCCATAGGTGGCTTCATCATCTGGGTTTTTTGTTTTTGCACTATTTAAAACTCTGGTAGATATGATGGTAAATAAATACACCTCCCATCACAGTTCCAGTATCATTGCATCCTGAGCAATGAAAAGTTGACTAAATATCCAACAGGAAAACATAAGTTGGGGTGATGTGCTGACTGACTGCTCTGTTCTCCTATTGGCTGTAATTTGGTGGACTTACATTTTAGTCCACCAATCACAGTTAAGTAAGGGATTGCTGGACGAATGCAATATGTACGACGTCACTTTGAAGTCTCTGGGGTCGCCGCCGCCCTTGGAAGCACCCCAGGGGGAGCTGTTGCCCCTAGCATGGTCCCTGTTCCTCCTGGGAAGGTCTCTGCCGCCTATAAGAAGGCTCCTGGGGGCGCTGCCATCCCTAGGAGAACCCATAGGTGCGTCGCCGCTCCAGAGAGGGCCTCTGAGGTCGGCAATGCACCTGGAATGTCTCTGGGAGGCACCGCCGCCCCTGGCAGGGGGTCTGTGGTCAGTGGCGCCCCTGAGAGGGACCCTGGGGAAGCCACCGCCCCTGGAAGAGCCCCTGTGGGCACCACTGTACCTGAGAGGGCCTCTGGGGCAATTGCGCTTTTTAGAGGGACCCTGGAGGAGCCACCGCCACTGGAAGGGCCCCTGAAGGCTCCACCCCTGTTAGCAAGACCCCTCGGAGCACCGCAGTCCCTGGAGACACCCCTGGGCACGCTACTGTCCCTGGGAGGGCCCCTGAGTGCGTGGCTGTCCCTGGAAGAGCCCTTGGGGCGTTGCGGCCTCTGAGGGGCTCCTGGGAGCGCCAATGTCCATGGAAGAGCTCCTGGGAGCGTCATTGCCCCTGGCAGTGCCCCTGATGGCACCGACGTCCCTAGAACGGCCTCTGAGAGCACTGCTGTCCCTGGAAGAGCCCCTGGGTGTGCCAACGCTCCTGGGAAGGCCTCTGTAGGTGCCATCACCTTTGGGAGTGCCCCTGAGGGCACCACTGTACCTGAGAGGGCCTCTGGGGCAATTGCGCTTTTTAGAGGGACCCTGGAGGAGCCACCGCCACTGGAAGGGCCCCTGAAGGCTCCACCCCTGTTAGCAAGACCCCTCGGAGCACCGCAGTCCCTGGAGACACCCCTGGGCACGCTACTGTCCCTGGGAGGGCCCCTGAGTGCGTGGCTGTCCCTGGAAGAGCCCTTGGGGCGTTGCGGCCTCTGAGGGGCTCCTGGGAGCGCCAATGTCCATGGAAGAGCTCCTGGGAGCGTCATTGCCCCTGGCAGTGCCCCTGATGGCACCGACGTCCCTAGAACGGCCTCTGAGAGCACTGCTGTCCCTGGAAGAGCCCCTGGGTGTGCCAACGCTCCTGGGAAGGCCTCTGTAGGTGCCATCACCTTTGGGAGTGCCCCTGAGGGCACTGCTGTCCCTGAGAGGGCCCCGGGTGGCGTGGTCGCCAATGGGGGTTTTCTTTTTGCACTATTTAAAACTCTGGTAGATATGACGGTCAATAAATACACCTCCCATCACATTTCCAGTATCATTGCATCCTGAACAATGAAAAGGAAAATAAATATCCAACAGGAAAACAAAAGTTGGGGTGTTGTGCTCCCTACGGGCGCCTCTGCCCCATTGAGTATCCCTGGGAGCGCAGCCACTCCTGGGAGGGCCCCTGGCGGCATCGGCACCCCCAGGGAGGGTCCCTTGGGATGCTGCTGCCTCTGGGGTCACCATTGCCCCTGGCAGGGCCCCTGGGGGCATCCCCACTGTTGGGATTGCCCTTGGGATGAGCCGCTCTCAATAGGAGGGCCCCTAAGGGCGCTGCCGCCCTGGAAGGTTCCCTGAGGGCGCCGCCAACCCTGGGGGTTCCCGTTGGGCATCGCGGCATCTGGAAGGTCCCCTGGGGGTGCTGCTACACCTGGGAGCACCACAGTCCCTGGGAGTGCTGCTGCCCCTAAGGAGGGCCCCTGGGAAGGCTGTTGGGGATGCTGCCCCCCCCCCCCCCTGGGAGGTCTGCTGAGGGCACTCTCTACCTTGGAGGTCCCCTGGGTGCACTGTCGCCCCTAGATGGGCCCTTAGGGCACCGCCACCTTTGGGAGGCCCCTTGGGGGGCTTCTGCCTCCTGTATAGTCGGCGCTGCCCTTAGGAAGGCCCCTAAGAGGGTCCCGGTCACCCCTAGGAGGGCCCTTGGGGCCTCACCACCCCTGGGAGGGCCCCTGGGTTTGCCATCGCCCCTGGGGGCTCCGCTGCTCTTATTAGTAACAGGATGTTTAGCAATAGCAACACAACTAATAGCCTCCTTGAGCTACTTTGTTACATTCACCCAAAAATATAGTGCCGACCCTCATACACTTGGTCACTCCAGACACCCATACAACTGAGGAAACTACATACATGGGTACTCAGGTGAATAACCCACCCAATATGTAACTCTACTTATTGTGGTGGACTCGTAACAATGCCATGAGCTGGTCGTGTTTATTCCTCACATATGATCAACAGATGGGCAGTGAAGCTGTGAACACGTTCTGCTCCTCTGAGCAGCTGGCTGTACGTGAGATCTCAGCTCATCACACACCGTGTTATGTGACGCTATCCAATCTTAATGACAGTCATACATCTCCATACTGGTATTGGACGTCATCCTGGCATACAACAAGAACCCTCGGTCTATCAGACACCTGTTCACAGAGAAGTTGACGGCTTGAGTGAGGCCGGGAGGGAGTCTGCCTCTTGACACCCAGCCTCTCACAACCCCAGAGTCAGAACTTTTCTAGATATAATCATCAGACTCCTTTGCTGTACACATCGGCTTGTGAAAATCAGGCTCTGAGCTTATATTAATTTTCTAAGATCAACTTTTTAAACTAAACAGTGACTGAGCTTACAAATGCAAGAATTAAACCGACATCAAGTACTAAGAATGGCAGTGTATTGTGGGAGGAGCTTCGGGAGCAGATAATGATATATTTTCGCTATACAGTATTCCAGTGATAAGCAATAGACTGTTTACATTTCAGAAGACTGTTTACTTTCTATAATACTGTACAAGACTGACAACAATTTCAATACTATCATCAGATTCTCTGGTGTTCATAGATCAAAAAGTTATGAATTCAATTTTGGAATTGCTATCCCATAAGTTCACAAGAAACATATTGATTTACTGCTGGCGGGTGGGTACTCAGAACACATCGTCTTAACACGATGTACTCTACACATAACTATATATGGTGCCTTCAACATTCACCCAATACACCTAGAATGCTTTCTCTCACTGTAGGCATACCTTATTTAATGTATAATAAATTCATTCACTCTAAGTTTCAAATCTCTGAACATCATATGAAGTATTAAGAAATATCAGAGTCTCTGAGGTACATGAGAGAAAACGGAGGACTCGGGCGCACTGAAGTGGTGAGAAAACGAATGTCTCAACTGGTGGACTTAACAGTTTCACACATGTTTTGTGGACGGTGGAGCATAATATGAACAATTAGTGTTAAACAGACGAGCCATGCTATGATGACCATGACACCATAACGCTTTAACAAAGTTGCTTTCATTGGTACCAGATATCAAAATAAGTACAGTACTTTCTGTTTAATATAGCGGGAGGATTGAATAACTTCTAGACGCAATGTTGTTCTCAAACAATAGCAATGATATATAAATGGTAATAAATTTGAATTGATTACAGTATTTGATACTGATTATTATGTGTACATACAGTAATGGTAAATTGTTGGAAAATGTTATTAAAACATTCAACACACATTAACATATTTTATCTAACACTTTTCCAGTTAACAGTCTTCAATAGGTCACACATCTAGACACTGAAAAGGTTAGGAAACATATCATTAATTACTGATAATATATATTCAGCACCAAGAGGTACAACAGGAGTTCAGATTATGTGCCTAAACCTACAGCCTGTATTTAAGAAGTGCCTGTTTTAAGACATTAACATTTACAGTTGTACGGAGAATAACAAAATACAAAACTGATGTGGGGAATACACAAAAACAGGTTACTGTATTAAGAGGTAACTGTAAATATAAAATGTATGTTTTGTGTTATGAAAAGTTACTTACAATATACAAAATGATAAAACCTGTAAGACTAGGAATGTGCGCTTCAGACGACCATGCCAAAAGCATCTTGTCGAGTATCTACCATTTTTACTTTTAATGTCTTAACTTTGTAGATAATTATTTCTATACAGTATAAGTTTTCATTCCTTGTGATTCATAAATGTTAAGCTTCGAGAATATAATGAGACTGAATTTTCTCATATACATACAACAAGAATTTGGTAACTTCTTTTTTTATCTTTTATTTATATTTTCCTGAACCCTTATCAATTATATCATTTAACATTGTTTCTAAAAGAATACCTTTAAAGTACATTGAATTTTAAAATAAAGCCTTATTGTTAAAAGACTAGGAATGATTAATTTTGGGGCAACTCAAACAATTTAAGCATATTTTTAGAATGGTTAAATACTGAGAGTATCAAGCTCAGAAATAATAACAGCACCATTGCCTCATTAAAGAGTTTCATAACTAATGTAAAATACACTTTCTACTCTCAAAATTTTCTTGCTAGAATAATATATAAAAATATTCAAGGTATGTGTAAGACATACACAGTAAACTTATGAGCTCACTCACAGTCTCACTTGTGAACCAGTGAGCAGTCACAGTCTGTATGATACTGACATTCATCACAAAAGCTTCACAAAGTCAAGGCAGCTTTATATGAGGCATAAACCACATAGATTGAAAAACTTCATAGGCATTTATTTCAGTTCCAAAATAATAATGTTGGAAATAATAAATAAAAGACTTAGATATTGAACCTATGAAACAACTCTTAATACTTTTAAGTTGAAACTGTTCATGGCTTGTAATGAAATATTTCATGTCATGAATGATTTCAATCTGTTTTGACTCATCCTATGATTGTCATATGAAGCAGCATTTTGGTACAAAGTTTGTACACAAAGCCAAACTGGTGTATAATACATAATCTCTGCTATGTACATTAACTCATACCTGTAGGGATACAAACATACATCTATACTCTTGACACTCCACCGTGGAATGTACATCATGGTCCACACTGATCCTGGATAATGTAGCTGGGCACATAATACAATATATATATTTTCTGTTATGTTGCTTGCTTACAACATAAAATATAAAAGTTTTCAGTCACTTTACTGTGAACACATGGAAGCTCTGGTATAATATCACTTTTCATGGTCCACCTTCACTCATAGGGAAAGTTCTGAACTGTACTCTAAATGGTACAGCAGTGATGGGAAGAGTTGGTAGAAGATTATTTATACAGTAGGTTACCGAGATAAATTTTAGGGAGGAACCCCTAAACTTTGCTTTCTGGTCCAATGGCATGGTGCTGGAAGCTTTCTCTTATTCGTGTTAAGTGTGTGGCAGTGGCATGACCGTACACTTTGTTGTACCACTCAGGTGTTCTCCCTCTGAAAAAAAATTTTTTTTAATAAAGTTGAAGGAACTGTACAGTATCTGCAATCTAATAGTGTCATTTTGATTATAAATCTGAAAACTATAAATAATATTTACTCTTATCCTACTCTTAAGGAACTGGGTCATGGGATATACACCTTCAACGTCGGTTTGGCTTACCATACTTCACTGTTTACCATTACAGCTTTTATCTGTATTCCTGCACTGTTAATGCATGCAGTATTACACTGTTTGTATACCTCACCACATACAAGTAATATCTCCATTAGCCAGAATCCTTCAAACCCGGAACTCTCTGAGAGCCGGAATTGAAAATTTTTCTGAAAATTGTTCCCAGTCTGAATTTTCTTGAAAATTCCCACTTTGGGAACGATTGTCCGAGGGTCAAAATTTTTTGAAAAACTCTGCAAAAATTTTCCCAGTATCCGGAAAATTCCGGGGAAGAAGCAGTTTTTTCCTGGTTTGAGAGATGAAAATCGGGCACAGTTTCCGAATTTTCTGAGAACATTTTACGGTACCCAGAAAATTCCGAGGATGTGGGATATTTTTTCCAGGTTCAAGAGATCATGTAATGAGTAATTTCTGGAACTTCCAAGAATATTTTTCCGTTACCCGGAAAATTCCGGGTTGAAGGATTTTTTTCCGGCTTTGGGAGAATCGTCTCATTACCCAGAAATCTCTCATTCCCGGAAGTGCTCTGCACCAATTGTTCTGGCTAACGGCGCTACCACTGTACAGTATTGTACTGTAGCCACCTAGCTCCTGGTTCCAAAAAATTTTAAACCTCAAAATCTGAATCGTCATGTTCTGAGGTACTGTACTATTTCTGTGTGGAAAAAAAAATATCAAGGCTCACTTGTTATCTTAAAAGTAAGTTGTTTACAATAGATACCTCATATCAAGTCGTGATATGTGAGTGATCCTTGACTTGCCGGAGCCACAGGGCTGGATTAGATACCGGGAAGCTAAGACTATGCCCCGAACACCTCCGACCAAGACTGGGGCATCAGAGTGCTCCACAGAGGTTTCCACAACCACACAACTCCCCCGAGCCAGGCCGCTCTGCCAACATCTGGTGAGAAAAAAGGTTAACTAGTATACACAGATTATGAAATACATAAAGTTTTATACATTGTAACAGATTTAAAAAAATACAAATAAAAAAATAAGAATAATAATACTGTACCAGTAATAATAATACTGTAGTAATAATAATAAAATTAAAAGAAAATAGACATGTTAGGGCAATCAGTTAATAAGGCAGTTATTTATAACTTAAAAGACTACTCCTTAAGCCTCATGTGAGACTCATAAGAGTTCTTCCAGCTTCATGACTTGAATGTTACATTTTATTAATTAATTAGAGACCTTAACTTTGGTGATATGTCCCATAAACATAAATGTGGTGACTCACCTTAACACACAGTAGTCTACTGGGGGTCGGGGAGGCATGGAATTGCACATGTATTGGAAAACTTCAGCCTGGCGATCCAAACGACAAACTACTCTCCACTTTAGTAAAGAATCGTCCCATAAGTGCCTGAAAAATACCATGATTCAATATTAACTGCTTCTAATACAAATAACTATGGAACTGTATGTCTTTTTATCTTCTTTATGTATGTAATGACTGTTGTGAACTGTAGCTGTCTATTATTCTGTAATGTAAAAATATGAATTACGTCTGTTTGTTGTTGGAATTTTGGCCAAATTATTCCCCATCCTATGAAATCTGCATCACAGCATTAGACATGTACTGTATGTGACCTGCCAGGAGAAGACAAGGGTACTTTTACAGTATTTGGGAGGTGTGGGACTTAAGTGAGAACTCCAACCTCTCCAGGAATGCAAAAAAAATAATGTAAATGTTGATACTAAAGGTATTCTCATAAACACTAAAAGAAACTGTTTTTAAATACTGTAATCTCCCTCAAAATTAACACCATTTGATCTTAAGAATTACCACTGTTGTGAAGATAGCACAGCAACCTTTCTTATTACATTTAGTCTCTAGCACAACACTTTTTCCACTGTCAATGATCTAATTATTACTAGTGTCCGTATTGAGGTCCTTTGTCATTATCATTATCGATATTATAATCAGTGTGTATACAGTACAACCTTCTGAGAAAACCAGCAGCACAAAATAACCAAATACTGTACAACAATGATTTGTATTGAAGTCTTTAGTCATCAGCAACCAAATACCATACAGTAATGATGTGAATACCAAGTAGGGTAATACAAACATAAAGATACTGTACCAAGTAAATGGTCAGTAAATTCATGTGATATGAGACTAGAGACTTTGACTTACCTCTCTCTAATGACACGGTTTAGCAGTTCTGCGGGTGGGGCTTCTACTTCAGTGGTCGCTCGCCATAAGCGTAAAGGGTGTCCATCTCCGACTTTACGGTATAATATTTCGACGTGTGAATCAGCGCAGTTCATGTGTACCCAGCCTCGAGATCTGTGTGGGAGGTAGTTTATGTAAAATATATAATAATAATACAGTATACCTTTACTCTAATAATAATACTATAACAGTAATAGTTAAATTATATGATAAACAAACAATTCGGAATACATATACAGTACTGTATTGTACTGTATATACTTTTACCTCATGTACCAAAACACCTTAAGGTACTAAAACATACCGAGACCTTCAGTAAGAGCGAGATAAGCGGGTGACAATCTAGTGGGGTTTTGGAGTACCGTTACTGTAACGTCAATTATCTTCATCAAATCATTCGTATTTCACCACCCCTACCCTGGGTTAACTTGTACGTATAGATATAAATTTCAACTTTAAAAAACAAAACAAAAAACAATAAAAAAGATGAAAGAGTACTATGAATGATAGGACAAGTAATTCATGGGGAGGCTACACCAGTGAGAGAAAATATTTAACTGTTGAAAGCAAAGAAGAGAGCGAGAGAGAGAGTACAGTATTTGTGTTGTTGGTTCCAGCCACCCAGCACTATACAATAATGGCAAGGGGCCTGCAAGAGTCTAAAAAAAAGGAAAATGCAATACAGATAATTTGGTATCGTTCCCTCTTTTCTACTTTCACCTAAGACAGCTTTTTCTAATAAATATAATAATGCATTCTCAGACAGGAATGTTTTTTTTGTAGTGTACTGTACTCAAAGGCCAGAAGAAATCACACTTTTTAAGATATTTTACGAAAAAATTATACAACCCAACATTTAAATACAGTAAAATGTAAATTAATTACTGTATTGGCATTAAGCATTGAAAATATGGGAGACGTACTTGTCTCTGGCTTCCTTAAGCAGAGATGTAATGCAGGCACTCATATATGAAGCCCAGTCTCCATCCATGGTGGTTGCTCCTGGAGAGCCCATAACACCTAGATCCTCAAGGCACACTGGCTGGCTTTGCTCCAAGTAGGTAAAACGGCAGTTGGACAACATCTCCGTGGGCACACACTGGATTTGACTGACCTGTGGACGATAATTTTATCATTAAAAAGAATTCTAAGATACATTAACTTGCATTTCCATATACTGTACTGTATATGTTAAATAAATACCTGTAATGTCTTATTTGTTTACTTTACTTTTAGGGGTGGTTGATTGAGCGGAACTGAAATCTTAACCCCTTCCCTTTGGGATACCACTTTTACTATTTTATTTGGGTAATGCCAGACAATTTTATTCAGCTCAGAATGGGACCAATACACAAGAGGTTAAAAAAGAGGGGAACAATAGGGGGCAATGGTTGACGACAAGTGCAGAAGCAGTAACCACTTGGAATGCCTACATGTACTTGCTCATTCTCTCAGTTTAAATATACAGTATCGTACAGTACAATAAGTGAACTGTGATCTCCCACATTAATTAAAAATACTGCTATTCATATCATAAATGATTACAACTTCAAATTCAAAGAAACTCAAAGTACTGTAATACAGTAATTATTATTTTTTATTTGTTAATATGGTATAAGCCACAAAAATTATGTAAAACCTATTAGGAGACTCAAACTGACTCCAGGTTACGTATAATTTACCTGTTGGATCATAAGAGTAAGACACTGGTGTGCTGCCTTGTTCTCGTGAAGATCTCGTTGCTCTGGTGTTCCAGCAGCACGACGTCGCAGAGGGCTAGACCCAGAACTGCCTACATTTAGGTGGAACAGTGATGGTGCTAAACACACTGCCAGGTTGCTTGCATGCATCTGGAAGAAGTTCACATTAATTATTTTTACTTTATCTTTCTCTGGGATACACAATTAGGTTAGGTTATCTTTCACTTATTTAAAACATTATTCTTGTGCAAATAAAATTTACATACAGTAGACCCTTGCCAACCGTGGATTCCATGTATCCACAGGTTTCACTCTGTATACCATTCCACCAACCGCAGAATTTAGTTTTATGTGTCCGTGGAATAGCGTGGCATTTTCATCATTCCGCGGTCTAATGTATTCCTCCATAAATGTGAGGAAAAAGGAAAAATAATACTAATAAAAGAAAAAATACTGTAGTGCCATTTGGCAATCGTTTGACTAACTCCCGCAGATGTAAGAAATGTTAATTATCTTTATGTTTTGACCTGATGATAATAATCCAATTTATTTATTTATTGTACGTTCTGTATGAATGATTGTGTGTGCATGTAAGAGTAAAAAAAGACAAATGAAGTAAATTACGTACATCTACCCAAAAATGCAAGTTGATAAATAACAAAAACACAACTTACAGTTTGGCCTGGTAGGGGGAAAGCAAGATACCCGACAGCGCACCCTCTCCCCTCCCACACACATATACACTCATGCTCTCCATTTTTCTTATTTTATAGCAACATGCCATCTCCACAGAGATATACTGTAAAAATTATATTACTATTCAATTTATATTAAGATATTTTATATGTATTTTACTCAAATTTAATTAAATGTACAATACAGGCATTGTTTAGTGAAGGAAAAGGCAACTCAGTTAGACTTTGACGTGTGGTATCTGCGGCCATGAAACCTAATTCCCTATTTCTCATAAGCTTTTAGCCTTGCCAACTGTGGATTTGCTAACCACAGGGTTTTTCTGGAACCTAACCCCAGTGGTTGGTGAGGGACTACTGTACTGTACTGTAATATAATACTTTTAAACTCAACAATGTTTACCTATTAATTATGTCTGACTCAATTGCTTGTAAAAAAAAAGACAAATATAATGGCTGTACAACATACCTGATTAAGATGAGAGTTAGCAGCAACGTCTGCCAGGAAAGTGAGAAGTGCCATGAGGACTTCCCTATTCTCATCTGGCAGCAGGAGAACGGCACACTGAAGGGCCTCCAGACGATGCTCGGCCGGTAAGTCTGATGGAAATATAAAGTGACGACTGAACTGATATCTGAATAAATATGTTGTCTAAATAAACTTGTGCTTGGATAGTTGCTATTGTATTTAGAGGGAAACGTGTTACAATGGCTCAAGGAATCTCCCATAATGTACCAGAAATACAATGGATCTAAATTTTTATGAATGGTCTTGAAAACTAAATTCAACAAGAAGAGCTGCACCTGACCATTAAAATTAAAAATTACGCCTCACAATGTCCGCTACATGACAGCATAAACTTACACTGGAATATGGTAATAAACATCTCTGAAAGTTTGTTGGTGAGCAAAACTTCTGGCAACTCCCTGAAGTACGTCTTAACCATGTCGGCGATGTCGCAGGTACCAAACGTCGAGTACTGGATATCCTCCCCAGACTCGTGAAATTCTCGTAGTTTTTGAATGCGAGACCTAACGCCAGGTTTTCTGAATATACCAACCTAAAAGTGAGATGGATCATTTTTGTTATTAGTACATCCACGACCACCAGAACAAAATGTACCTATAATGTATCTATAACCAGTAGCTCCAATAAAAGTCACATAATCTCATTAACATGTCAAAAAAAAACCCACTACAGTATATGCAAGATGCTGAAAGATATGTGCCTCATTAGTGAAGTTTCCACACTTACTTGATCTAAACTGGTAGCTCTGAGGTACTGAAGGGCAGCCTGTATACCGGGAGGTATCGGCTGTCCTGTTCGTTGTGTGATCACCAGGAGAGGAACGCCAAAGACTTGTCTATCACGATAATCTGGCGTTTTAATTTTTCTCATAAATTTTGGCAGCTCCCAATTCCATCCACTGCGATTACTCGGGCAATACCGCTCCATCAGTGCTGTTAGCCTGTGAGAATAGGATAAAATGTAAAATTGGTTAAAGATATAGGAGTTCAAAATTTGTTTTCTTTAGTAACCATTGTACAGGACCTCTAATAGAAAAAAATATTTAATTAAGTAATCATTCACACTGTATAATAGATTTTTGGAAAAGTCTTATGAATTAGCAGTACTGTATACACACCTTAGTAGGGCCCTTTTTCGTAAATGTAGCATTTGACCAGCGCTAAAACCATTTATTTGAGTGCCTAGCTGTCGAGTACTAGGTAGGTAAGACTTTCTGTTGAAACTGTGCCACCTATCCACTGTAGCTCTACAAAATAAAATTCAAGATAAGAATAAATCTAGACAACCATAAGTAAAAGAAAGTTTGTCAAGAAAATATGTTTATTGCTCTGCCAGACACACAAAACTGTACTATAAAACTATGACTATAATTTTAGTTTAATATGGAAAGTCCAGTTAGCTAAAAAAAATAAGAAACACTTGCTACATAATTATCAGAAGACTTTAATTGGTAACCAACTGATATATCATAAATAAATTTGATCACACGGCTGTCTGAGATGTTGTTAGGCAAGTGTTAATAGTTTTTTTTAATCAAATTTTTTAGCTTATAAAATGTAGCTTCCAGTTTCTATAATATTGTTTCATTTTCTTGTATGATTCCATTTCATTTATTATTTACTGATAATTAATAAACTAATGAACAAACACTTGTTTTTGATTTACAACTAATTGTGTTTTCTCGTCTCATCTTACTTGTTGCTGCATTACTGGACAACTCTTTGTCTGTCAGCTTCATGATCCAAATATATTTTCTGGAACCAAAGTTGAACTACACAACATCTTTTTTTTTAAAAAGTACTTTATATTTATTCTTCTCTGTTTAAACTATAACATTAAAATAATAATAATACTCAAAAAAGTTACCTTCTTGGGCAAGGTTCATCATTATCTTCATCATCGTGTGCAGAGGGCAAAGGTGAATCCCGACTTTCTACGGTACACTCACTGCTCCCAGAACCTTCGTGTGCACTGGCTGCTGAAAACATTTACTTCTTAACAAAACATTCTCAAGATCCTTTGACACGCAGCTTATACCAGAAAACATTACACTAGCAAAAGAATATCAACCTTCCTTATCTATAGCAAGAGCCAGATGATCCTTGAAACAAAATCCAAGTTAGGACACAAAGATTGTGGTACAGTTGCAGCCTATCAATTAGTACAGACATACAATGTGTACAGTCACGAACAAAAGTCGTGTCACCCCTTCTACTGTTTCACGAACCCCAAGATTCAGACCCGTGAACTTGAAGCAGTAAACACATGCATTATTCTGTCCATAAATGCTTCAAAATCATGAACCTGAATTTTGGGATTTGTGAAGCAGTAGAAGAGGTGATAACATTCAGACATATCCAGGGAAAATGGCCGTAAAATGGTGATTAGGAATATACTTTACTCAATTACATAAAAAATATCAACCTTTACATACATGGTGTATAAGACAGCTGTACTATTATACCCACAAGTAAGACCTCACCACTGTATTCATCAATATCTATGAGATGTTACAGTTAACTACATACACCTGAATACCATCTATCACTGGCACATATCTTGACACAATAGTTTGTACTATGCATTTCCTAAAATAAAATTCATATTCAGTACCGTACAGACATCTACATCATTATCTATAGAATTTCACTGACTATATACTGCAGTACACGAATAGATCTAACACAGCTACAACCATTACAATTAACATCTTCCTAACAAAATATACTCACACATCACCTCACCACTACCAAACACTTCTCTGACATTGATTAAACCTTCAGGCAATTGTCTAGTATTTAAATTTAGTTGTCATTCTTAGCATACATGAAAAAAGAAGAGTGGATTACTACAGTTACATTAATATATGACATAAATTACTTTTATGAGAAGGTAACTATACTTTTTCCAAACAAACTCTCTACCCCACACACCTTCCTGACAACATCTACACTAATTTTATTCCTAACATCTGGCAAACAACTACAAACATTTTCAAACTCACCAGAATCCATGACTTCAGGCTGGTAGTCATGGTAACTCTTATTACAGATGATGAGAGGAACATTATCATAAACTGAATGTCTCTCTTCATCAGGGCTTGGTAAAGGTGAGACGTTCTCTGCATTTTTCTCCACCCCTACAAAATGTGTTTCTCAATTAATATTTTTGACATACCAACAAAACAGTTTGATACAATAATAAAAACAATTTAATATCAGAATAATCAACTACCTACTGTATTGTACTGGTAAACAACATTGAAAATTAAGAATTATTGATTTCCAAAAAACTGTTATGTAGAATATTGTACAAAATTAAGAAACAATGATGTAACTGACCTCCTCTGATGCTGGCAAGAAAGTTTTCTCTGGCAACTTGTGACTCTTTACCATAAGTAAGAGAGCCAGTGTGCCGCAGGTGACCAGATCTGGATGGTCTCCCCGAACCCGCCTTATTGGTGCGTTTCTCTGAGCATAACGGAGGTGACTGCAATGTAAAAACCACATCAGACACAAATTCATTACCTATGATTAATTACTGTACTGTGTATGTGTTCTATATCTAACATTGTATAATACTGTATATATTCAGAATTCTCAATAAGAGAAGTTATATGTACTAATGAAGGACTAAAGCTAATAGTCAGGTAATATCAAATGCAGTATACACTATGCAGAGGGTACTGGTCTTATCACAGATAGTGACGAGACATTACAAGAACTAGTTAATAGATTGCTGGAAAAAGGTGAAAATACAATATGGTTTAAGAGTTAATGTTGTAAAGACAAATGCAATGGTTGTTTCCAAATTGAAAATACAGTAAATTTTATATAAAAATTATGGTAGGCAACAGGAAACTTAAACAAATGGAAAATTTTTGTGTATTTGGGAAGTAACATTAGCTGTGGTGGTAAATGTACGGATGAAATAAAAACAAGAATAAGACAAGCTAAAACAGCATTTAATAATCTAAAAGACCCAATGAAAAGGTAAATTAACATCAAATTGAGAACAAGGGCAAGGACTGGTGTATGGGGCAGAAGCATGGAGTCTTTCAGCAGACACCAGACAGAGGTTGGAGGCCTTTGAAATGTGGTGTTATAGGCAAATACTTAGAATAAGTTACACTGACAGGAAAATCAATAAAGAAGTACTAAGATTAGAAAAACTTCAATTGAAATATTGTACTACTTGAAATGTACAGAAAAAGAAAAATAGGATACTTTGGTCATATAATTTGGGATGAGGGAATAATAACAGAAATATTAACGAGCAAATTTGTGAATAGGAGGGTCAGGGGAAGGCAGAGACTGAGATGGATCAATTAATTTAAAAACTGGGTCCCCTCAGATATGAGGATGGTACTCTTAACTGACTGAATGAAATATGATTACAGGAAAGTATGTAGAATCCATGGCTATAATGTAACTTTGTTAGAGAAGAATGTCACACCTGTCCTGCTGGAGTCATTTTGTTGGAGTTGGCATCTGTGAGGTAGTGTCTCCAGGTGGGGGGTGAGTACTCAGAGTCACTGTAGGCTCCACCCCCACCCTCTCCCCCGCCCTGATTGCTGCCTCCTCTCCTCCAAAATCGCCGTCTCCGATGGCCACGGAACATTGGGGTGGAACTCTGAGAGTGATCGGAAGCTAAAGACGAGGAATCCTGTAGAATTAACAATAAATAATTAGCTGGACCTGCTGGATATTACTGTTTAGTGTCATTCATCACTTTAATAATAAATAATACTCTTTAATGATGAATGACATAATTATCATAATATCAAATGTAAACATCTCATATATACAGTACCTAATCCACCTATAATTCCATACTCAAGCATTGGTTTAACTCACTACATCAGATAGACACAACAACATGAATGGGTCCTATATCCACTGGCAGGTTTGGGGGTGCCACAGAGGTTACACGCTCTGACTACTAATTTATTATCAAAGTTCTATTTTATTTCAACTGAAGTTTTATAACACTGGTTCAATTTCTGAACTTCTTTATTACCCTTTGGTTTAATTCAACACCACAGGTAGTTGATTCACGGCACTTTAAGGGTTTATATCAAGAGTTCAAAGTTGGCACAAACTGTTTAAGGACCCTGTGTACAATATATAGTGTACTGTACTGTAACATGTAATGAAAATCTTCATTGTGTGTTTGACTAAATCTCGGCTTCATGCTAACTATAAATGCCTGAGATGAAAACATGTACAGTACCACAAAAATTCAGGTATTGGGGAGATACCAAAAGTATGGTACTGCACAAATTGTTTTTTGAGATACATCCCCAAAATATACTCTAACGTTTGTAATTATTTAAGTCTAGATGTTTAGTTTGCATGGCACTGACTTTTAGGTTTAGACACTGTGTTAATATCTTCACACATATACAGTACAACCACAAGTTCCAAAATGGGTTTCATGTTGACTCTAATCCCTGATACAACCCTTAACTAGTCATACCCCATAATGTGTTCCTACTCTCACCTGAAGCTTGCAAAAAATATTGTAATATATACCCCCTGTACTGTACTGTATTTGAGGATCCTAAATTCATTAGACTAAATTTCTGCTCTACAAACATAACAAGACAGCAAAACGAGATGATAAAACTAATATTACAAGTAGAGTGACAGCACAAAGAGTGACCTCAGCATGGGTGGAGTGTGGGATGCCCCTGGGCTGTGTGGTGGTGGTGCCCCTGGACGACAACTCTGGTGACGCCTCGGGGGAGATGTCCACACAAGCCAGCTCCTCCACCCGGGCCTCCATGCGTGCCTCGTCCACCAGCTGCAATTGTTCCTGCTTGGTTAGTACAGTGCTGTGTTCACTCTCCCCACTGTTTACCGCTACTCTCTTATACTGTACCAACTACAGTAAACATGGAAGTGATACGTTGGACCACCTGAAGAATCTCCATCCCAAGATTATTTCACCTCAAGATTAACCACCCAAACACTAACCTACCCTAACTTTATCCCCCTAAATACAGTATTAGGGTGGTTAATCTTTAGGTGATATAAACTGGGGTGGAGATCTTTCAGGTGAGCCAATACTTTTGTAAAAAAATTTGCTGGTTTACTGATAATAAAACATCCTGTGTATTAAACCATGGTACTGTAGGGGTAGTCTCTTCCTCAACACATATTTAACACCGTGTACAGTACTGTAATGCCATGTTGCAGTAAAGATTCATTCGTCCTAATATATTGTACAGGTAGTCATGTACCTGTTTTGTATTGTTACCATCGAACAAGTGGGTGTTGTTGCCAGACTCACTTTAGGTCCACTGATGACGACACCATCCCTGTTCTGACGTTTCTTCTTCTTGTTCTTGATTGACTCCATACGCTTGAGCAAGGCCTTAGCGCCATCTCGGAGACGCTCTGATCCTGACCGCTTGAACTGACCCAACAGCACGTCCTCCGGCAGCTCCAGTCCGCGAGACTCACCACTAACCTTCCCTTCGCTTCCTGCAACAACAACAACCACAAACATTACACCTGGATCAGTCTACATGATATAACTCTGGTCAACCTTAACAAATTACTGGACAGTTGTTGTTACGTCACACAGGACGAAATGCAGACAAAACCTTGTTATTCTAATGTTAACATTTTTGAGGGGCAGTATTCTAGACTCTTGTTACTAAGGAATGGCATCACTCTTTTAAAAAATTCAAACTATAGTACAGGTACTGTATATATATACAGTATATAAGTGATAACGGCTGGGTGTATATATATATATATATATATATATATATATATATATATATATATATATATATATATAATTACTTGCAGCCTGTGGTACAGTGTACTTAACGGAATGTCTGTTAGTACTGTATTAATAAAATACATTTAATTTGGCTTTTATTTTGTAAAAATTCCTACAAGTATACATATATAAACCTTTACCGAGTATTACACAAGGTATTAGTAATACTTTGTGTTGATTATACATTATGAGCCCGACTAAATCTTCCATAATATACTGGACTAAAGACACCTTCCAGTGTGGACAACACCCCATTGGTGGTGTCACACTGGAGACTAGTTCCCTCACGAGTTATTGTGACACTCGGTGCTGTATCAGACCCAACCATGACCGCCTCTGGCCCAGCCTGTTAACAATAGTGCAACACTGTGCTGAATGTTGAGGATGACAGTCTGCCTCCCACCCATACACCTGCATTACCCCACCTCTACTACCCTGGCCTAGTAACCACGTGGCTCTTTGGTTAAATTGTTTATGAGTCTCCAATGTAGCCACACATTTCATAATTAAATTAAACTAAAACCTGTTCTCGGACATGATCGACTAGATAAAGCTCTTATACCCACGTGAATCATTGAGGGCATGGGTACGTGAATGAGGAAGGGAAGGAGTGATTAGGTGTGAGAGCAAGTGTAGAGAGGCGTGGATGTGTGCGGATGAGAGGAGAAAGACAATGGTGTATATCCTGATCCTGCGTCAACGCCTGAGTGGACAATATATGGCTGAGGAAGGGGATGACGCAAGCTCGTACTGTGACAACGAATAACCCTTTGACTATAGTAATGATTACCTAGGAGTGGGGGAGATATCCTCTTAAAACGTCATTACCTTTCAACACTCACACTAAGGTAAAAAAAAACTTTATCCTGACTTCACGCTCGGCTGATAATGGTGGTGACGTCACGACACACCGAAGGGTTCTTTAATGTGGTCACAATGATCATACGAAGAAGCTTCAAGATGGATAACATAAGCGAATAATAATAAGTTATTTATTCACGTAAATAATAATAATAAAAGAAATAACGCACCTCGGGAAATAAAAGATTTTATAGCTAAAACCATTGAGTCATATCCTCAAGTTTGGTGCACGTGACCTGGGTGGTTGGTGACTGGTTAGTGTTGGCGGGTCACCAGGCTAACACTCATTGTTTACTTACTCGCTGGGGTCAAACGACACGGCAGTATATACATGACCTTAAATATTTGCAGCCGTTCACCCCAGGAATGGATAGTCGTTTACACAAGGAGCTTCTCGAGGACACGGCTTAAAACTAACATACATTAGACCCAGTAGTTTCAAATATATTTATTTATGTTACACTGAATACCACGAACACGACTGCCTACAATCCTACACAGAATGAGTTAAATATCAACCATGTCGTAAATCAGATAAATAACGAATAAATGTATTTCTGTAAACGTCAAAGTGTTAATAAAAATAACACCGAAACGTAATATCACCTCCACGTGTAACCTGGCCTGAGGTGAGGTCACGGGGAGGAGTGGGAGGTGACCGCGGTATTGTGGGGTCATGCGGGGTGTCACCAGCGGCAGGTCATCGACAAGCTGTGTTGGGTTGAGCCTCAGGCGGGACGGAGTTTGGCGGGCTTTCACCTTGGGAGGATGACCTCACTCGACCTTGACTGAGCTGCACCTTACTCAACTGGTCATCTTGTGGTGCACATCAACAGCGAAATTTACCTGTACAATAATCTGCCTTGACACACATACACACACTGGTGATACATTCTGAACTTGTAGTGAGTTGGAACACGAAGCTGATAACTGTGGGCGAGACGGTGTACAGTACACGCTTCATGCTACGAGTACAAACAAAAATAAATTGATTGTTTTTAATCTGATTTTAAACACGAAATTGGGGAATATTTGACCGAAAATCCTGTACAATAACCCAGTCATAAATCAGTTATTGCTACATACTTGCTAGGTTCAGTTTTGTCGGTGTCGTGTCGTCATAAATTATTTACGCCGTAGTCCCTGGGGATTCGTGGATGACGCGTGACATTTGGCTAGCGTCTTAGAACAGGATTTAGGGAAGGAAAATTCTTTAGCCTAGGTGTTCACCGTACCAATGACGTCTTAACTAACTTTTCCTATAAGATGGTTTGTTGTGAACTGTTTAGTCTCATGTATACTCAACAGAGATTCAATCAGGCGACACACATACAATGCACTTACTAAATGGGGCGATGATATACAGGTGTTGGAGAAGCGGCTCATAGTGGCAGTAGCTGTCACGGTAGCCAGGGTGAGCCACATCGTACCCATCTCTATTCCAGGGAATCATCTTTATTCTCTCCCACACTCCCTCTACCCACCAACGCCACAATACTGCCTCGACGTCACCATACACTACACAATCACCACACCATTACGCACACTTTTCTTGTTTGCTTATATAGTGTGTTGATCTGTCGGGTTATATCTGCATCTACACCGATATTTCAACTATACTATAAGCATTCAAACTTGCCGAGAAGAGATGGGTTACGGCAGGTCTGGCTGTTAACAGTTTCTCGCCGGCACAGTACACTTATATCAATGTTTCATACAAGCTGTGGTCATTATACAATATCAGTGTTATAATGATACAAATTCTCATTATTTTAGTGTTAGTAATTGTAATTATTCCGTGTGTGTGTACGGCGTCGTCCCACACCACACACTGGGTCGCTTATACCACCAGTCAGTCACTACTCCACACACACACTGGTGACGCGCGCAACAGCTCACACGACGGCGTATACCCCCACCCCCTTAACTCCTCAGCCCTGGGGGTGTGGGGAGGGATACTAGGTGGGTAAGGAATAGGGGGAGACACTTGTACTGTACTTAGTAACTATTCAACCAACAACACTCCCCCTCTTTCACCCTTTCCCCTAACATGTTGATTTTAATACCGGCATCACCTGATAAATTAGACCCGCCAAATATTTATCTCACGTTATCATTATTGTGTATCTGTCAGCTACACTCGGTATGCTTAGTAAATTGACAGAAGCTTTGAGAATAAATGTATTAGTTAAACATTGACTTTGTATACTGGAGGTGTAACTTGAGGACATAAACAAGTCTTGAAGTTTTATTTGTTTTCTCAGCCGTCTACCGTTGCTTCTCTCCTCACTGGTCTTACGCCATTTAATATTCTTTAAGTTTTACTGGTTTACCTGAAGATTAGACACCCCAGTTTGTTTCACCTGATGATTAAACACACTAACTCTACCTGGGGGGTGGGGGGGGGTAAGTTGGTGAGGGTCTTAAAATGAAAGGTAATTCTTCACAAATTAATAGGGTAGGCTACTAAACTCTCTCTCTCTCACACCTACTGACTTCATAAAGTACGTATTACCAATGACGCTTCATACTTACATAAAGAAAAGATAATTACAATTTTTTTCACAACTTTCTCGGAAACACGTAAACACATTATGACGCAAAGATAATTGTTGAGTATTTCGGACATGACTCAACCAACGCGCGGCATCCTTACCGAGTCAGTGTTGTCCAGCTCAGTCCAACACACACACACACACACACACACACACACACACAGACTGATACACACAAACACATAATAACAGACACAGACAAAATAGTATAATTGTGTGGTAATTTCCATACATTATTTTTTTACGTTTTGAAAATTAGAATTATGTAAATAAATACACACAACTCTCAGTAATAAGATTGGTTATAGGTGTTAAGTGAAATACGATAGATAAAATAGATTATAGGCGGTGTTCTGATGGTCCCCAGTTCCAGGGACCTCATGTTCTGATGGGCCCCAGTCATGATGGTTAGGTTAGGTGAGTGACTTCTTAGAACTGGCTGCCTATTAACTTGCAACCCTCTACCTGACCTACAACAGCGAGTGACCTTCAGTGACCTGACCTAGACGGACAGAGAGGTCATGGAGTTTGACCTATTATATCGTTAAAAGGGTATTAACCTGACAATTGACCTCTTGTGGTTGAAACTACCCCAGTACTCGACACTACATGAAGCGGACTCGAGATGAATAACATGACCAACAGAGGTTATACACTAGGTCAGGTCAGGTCAGGTGTTCATAGATGTTACGAGATCATTTGTAAGATCGATGAATTTTCACAATGAACACTGCGACTCCTGTTGTCTCGGTAGGGTTGTCAAAATCCATCGTCCGTTGTGTCATATTGTTCAACACATCTCCGTAAAGATACTTTTTTGGAACGAGTTACCTTAGACATTCCTAGTTTATTTTACTTGATTAACCTAACCTAACCCACTCTCTTATCCTAACCTAACCTAACCCACTCTCTTATCCTAACCTAACCCACTGTCTTATCCTAACCTAACCTAACCTAACCCACTCTCTTATCCTAACCTAACCTAACCAGTCCCCTCTTCTCACCTAACCTATCCAGAGAAAAATACATGTGTGTGTTTATGACATGTATGTTTGTGACGTGTATGTGTGTGTGGCGTTGTGTTTACATATGTTTGTGATATGTACGTATGTGTGTTTGTGATATGTACGTATGTGTGTGTGTGATGTGTGTGTGTGTTTGTGTGTGTGTGTGTGTGTGTGCGGTATCCCACAGTGGTTTATAATCGTGGGAAGTGTAATGAGATAAGAGATTTCCGAGATATTTTATTATTCTTGTTAGCCGCCAGTGAGAGAGAGAGAGAGAGAGAGAGAGAGAGAGAGCACACAAACACAAAATCAATCTGTGATCTCAACACCTGCACACCCCATCAACACCTGCACACCCCATCAACACCTGCACACCCCATCAACACCTGTACACCACCTCCCTGTCTTACCTGTGTTGGGTGACCGCTCGTGGACGATTCTAGACCACCTGCGGGAATGCCTGACGAACATCCAGTTGCCTGACAGTGCACATTGTTGTTCCTCATCGTCTGACTCCTCCGCCTGTAACAACCACTGTATTAATAACACCATGATGCATAGTTATACACGAGTTATACATAGATATACATAAAGTTATACATAGATAAATATGGAAGTTATACAAAAATACAAAGAAAGTTAGTCACATCTAGTATACATGAACTATATATATGGTTACTACTATTAATACTAGTGTTTATATACAACTACTACTATTGCTACTACTACTACTACTACCACTGCTACTACTACGACTGCTGTTGCTGCTACTGCTGCTACTGTTAGGTTTAGGAGGGAGATGGAAAGGAACTGGTTCACAAATAGGGTGGTGGACGAGTGGAACAAGCTTAGCAACTTTGTAGTAAGTGCTGGAACGCTGGAAAGTTTTAAAAGGAGGCCGACCGGCCTATTGCAGACTCCTTATTTTCTTTTGTTCTTATTACGACTACGACTACTACTACTACTACTACTAATAATAATAATAATACTATCATCTTTTTACTATTTCCCACAATCATCACCTTACCTACCCTACCAATCTTCCTTTCCTCTTAATTCACCCTTCTGCTCCTCCATTCCTTGTCTCCTCTTTCACTTATTCCCCACCTCCTTCCTTTCCTATTAACGACCTTTCCCCAGCTCGAGACACACTTACTGGGAACATTCTTAGCACGAGTTTTTGAGAATCTACTTTACACTTGGTTGATGACTAAGTCCACAGCTGATCACGTGAAGATTAGGACCCCCCCAAGCTTATTTCACCTGATGATTAAACACCCTAACGATATCTGGGTTAGGTTAGGTTAGGTACGTGTGATTAATCTTAAGGTGAAATAAACAAAGAGAATTTCAATCCACATGTTTTAATCTCTCAACACACACACACACACACACACACACACACACACACACACACACACACACACACACACACACACACACACACACACACACACACACACACATACACATTTTCCCATACTACATGTTACTCAGGCTCCTCCGTCACAAAGCTTATAACGTCAACATAACAATAAACGGATGTGGGAAATCTGATCCGCACAGCACTCCGGATATACAGCTTAAAGGACGTATATGTGTGTGTGTGTGTGTGTATAATGTTGCAAGATCACGTGTAAAAAAAAAAAAACCCAAGTGTCTCTCGGGAATACTTTGCACAATTTTGGAAACCCCACAGGAACTTGGTATTAATTATATCATGTGTTTCCTGGGTATGACAGACGCCTTTTTTACCAGTGACAACCTGACCTTTAATACTGATGACCTTTGACCTTTAATGACTGTGAACCTTAATGATACTCTTTATTATTAGCCAAGTTTCACCATAACTGAGTCATTATCTAGATCTATGGTGTATGTGTCACCCCTCTCTCTCTCTCTCTCAGACAAGCCCAGTCGACCCTAGTACCTATTGAGACACCTAGACCACTGCCTCCTCCTCCTCCCAGCTCCAGTATAAGAAAGGTCCTGTAACTAGTGTGTACCAGGCTATGTGGTGCTCCTTATCCTCTCCAGCAGGCTCGTTGAGATCCCTGACACCTGACACCACCTGATACACCACACATATAACACTGACATGAGAGAGAGAGAGAGAGAGAGAGAGAGAGAGAGACTACCTGTATCACCAAATCTTCTCATCTCTAATTTCTTCCTTATTTTTCTTAATCTTCTCCCTGCCCTCATTCTACCTGGCAGATCCTTCCTTATCTCTTTATAAATACTACATGACACCACCTCCTCCTCACCTTGTTCTTCCTGGCGGAGTCGAGACGTATCTTGGCGCAGCGGTTGAGGGTGCGAAGTCTCCTGAAGAGCGCCTCGAGGGAGTCAGTATCCAGGAAGGTGTGGTCACGCTCCACGCACATCAGATCCAGCGGGAACTGCAACTCTGTCGCTACATAAAACACTCCGTCAGTCATCACTCACAGGTTAAGAGGGAAAAAAGTAATTCAAACAAAAGCTTCAACAATACTGATAGATTTTGTTGAATCATGTAACAGAAAGTCCTCTTTAAACTAAACATTACACACGTACACGCACACCCCCCACCCCCCACGTACACACACACACACACACACACACGACACTTACCTTCGTACATTTGGGCATACTGAGGGAAGCCAGCTGCCCGTAGCCACTTGCATGCTTCTATTGCTTCCAGTTCTGTGGGGAGAGAGAGAGAGATGTTAATCATAGTCTACATCTGGCAACACTGACTACTAGAGAACCTACTAGTTGAAATAGTCTAATGATAGTCACAACTCTACCAACACTGCTCACATACTATAAATATTAATTTTTGTCGGTAATTTCTGTCAATATACTGTCCGTCTGTATGTCACGAATGCTTACGAATACAAAGTTTACGAATTTATTTGTTATTTGCCACTTAGTCGTGCACCCACAGATAAATACAGGAACACGCAAGAGTAACTCCCCCGTCTACCGTACACTGAACTTTTAAGTGCTAATTCCCACCGCGCGAAGACACTTTAACTTTTAACGCAGTTGGCCCTTAAGAACTCTCAGCTGTCACAAGTTTTCTTTGATAAGTCCTCGAAGAAAACTTGAAGCTTTAATACAGAGGCTTAGGAATGATTTTGGTATGGGGGGGAAGGAGGAAAGTGGGGGAAGGAGGTAAGTGGGGGAAGGAGGTAAGTGGGGGAAGGAGGTTAGTGGGGGAGGGAGAGAGAGGGGTATAAGTTCCAATTAGTGACTCCCCTAATCACTACTACCAAGCACCCGTTCAGAAAGGTTTGACAGCTGAGTCAAGGAGCGCACCACCACGCCCACAACACGAGCTCTGGCGGGGTAAGAGGGCGTACAGTACACCACACACACACACCACAGACCCCAGGCAGTGTGAGGGGCCTGCAATCAGCGTATCGCCGCCCACTACGCCCACGATGAGTGACACGGACCACTGGAGCTCTGTAATAAGGACACCACCACCGCCCCTACGTATCTTGTCTGGTTTGGCGTATAATCTTGTAATAATAGGGGGGATATGTGACGTGTGGAGGGCGGCGTATTGGAGCGTCCGAAGATGTGCGTAATGATGACGTACGTATGCGTGTTTAAGGGGCGTGTCCGTAGATGTATGGGCGGGGTGTGGGTGGAACCGAAGATACGGAGTCAATATGGCGAGAGAGAGAGAGAGAGAGAGAGAGAGAGAGAGAGTCTGTGTGTGTGTGTGTGTGTGTGTATGGCTGTCAGGGAAGGGTGGTGGAAGGTAAGACGTACACAATAGGACGTGAGGGAGGCACCTGCATATATTACATATAAATAAACATATCGCTTTGTACACTCGCCCGCCATAAATACACACACGTGTACTTTGTTCTGTAAGATGACACTGTTACCATGTCTGTTGTGTACACGTGATAGATATTATTATTATTATTATTTATTACTGGTTTTGTTATTAATGTGCTCTATAAATATCTTTTTAACTATTGTTTCATGTCGTGGATGAGAAAAGTTTGCTCCAGTAGGTAAATATTTATATACCTGGTCCCTCAGTGTTTGTCTCTTCCGGCCCTCCAGACAAGAGACTCCGAAGACAACAAAGAGACGTAACTCCAGCTGGTAAATAGTATACTGTACACCATGTGAGGATTATGACCATTAGTCACCTGATGCCTCGCCGTACGACAACAGGAACCCAGTTTATCCGAGTGGTGGCTGATTAGTGCTGTCGGGCGTACGATACTGGCGGACGTATGCCGATTATCTTTCAACTTCATCCTAAAATGCAGGTTTCTTTTATCGTCACCTCTCTTAGGGCGATTAAACGGGAGGAGTAGATGGATTTGTCTATGGTATATTGTTGTGTGTTTTGTATACGACCAGACGACTGTGGTTTTGGTCGCAGGATGGAGACTTGGTTTGGCTTATGTAAAGAAGAATTAAACCGACTGTCACACACACACACACAAGGAAAAACGACGTGACCACACCAGACAAACAAGAGGCCAACTACTATTCACAAGTATAGACAGACAGATAAAAGAGCTGCCCCCACCATCACCACCACGATGTAGAGCACAAAGAAACCCTAAGGCCTACTTCCCGCCCTCACCCAGGCCTATTCCCCAGCAACACGTAGAAAAAAAAAACTATGATTGGCGGGTAGCTGTTTGTTTACGTAGGCCTGTTTACTACCGACTGTTTGTTTTTGATTCTTTGTTTACAGGATTCTACGACTCTGGTCTCGGATTCTCACGATATTTTTAGATGCTTGAGGTAGATCTATGGATACCTTCCACTAGATGACTCACTGATTAACTGACTGATTGACTGACGGAAATTTTGTGACTAACACCCCTGACCCTCTCACACCACTAAGCTCCCCACTACACCCCTGGCCCTCTCACACCACTAAGCTCCCCACTACACCCCTGGCCCTATCATACCACTAAGCTCCCCATTACACCTGGCCCTATCATATCACCTCCCACTACACTGACCCTCTCACACCACTAAGCTCCCCACTACACCCCTGGCCCTATCACACCACTAAGCTCCCCACTACACCCCTGGCCCTATCATACCACTAAGCTCCCCACTACACCCCTGACCCTCTCACACCACTAAGCTCCCCACTACACCCCTGGCCCTATCACACCACTAAGCTCCCCACTACACCCCCGACCTGCCAATATCACCCGTCCCTCATGAACTGGTCAGGCTCCAGGCGGGTTGGGGTAAGGTGTGAGGGGGGACAGGAGGCCTCATGAATACGTCCGCTACTTAACCTACATACATCTGTGGGCCGTCAGGAGCAGCACCAGCTTCTTCAGGGGCAGAGTACGGCTTCACCTTCCTCTGTGTGGGAGGAATAATTTACATCCTCAGCCTCGAGTTCCTCAAGGTTCGTATACTCTGAATTCCTGAGCTGAGTTAATCCTCTAAACGGAACCACTACTATTTCCTAATCCTGAACTTTAGATTTAATTAGGTTAAGTTATGTTAGGTTAAGATTAAGTCGAGTTAGGTGAGGTTAGATTAGGTTGGGTAGGGGTAGGTTAAGTTTAGTTTGGTTTTTGGATATGTATTAAGTTAAATTTTTCTCATAAAGGGAAACTTGAGGCGGATTGACTCACTTACGAGGATGGATTACTTGTCCGTCGGATATATTTACCTTATATCACTAAATCAATTGGATATACTTAAGAAAAAATGACAAAACAGCCGTGAAAATGGTGCCTAAAGTATACTAAGACTCTACTGTAGCTAATATAGGTTCTAGGAAACACAAAATACGCGAAAAACTGGTGAATTTGAACCCAGGGCCCTCTCTACCCCAGCAACCAACCAATCAAGTGCGGCCAACACGCCCAGCGGGTGTTACGCTAGGGACCTGGCCACTCAGCGGGTCATCAGCAACCCGTGGAGAGAAGAATGGCCCCGCGACAAGCATTTCACGGCCCCCCCCCTGACGTTATGCTGTCTGCTGGGGGTCTTGGCGGCTCATAAATGTGACAGTTCCAACCAGTAGCTAAGGCCTCAGGGGGGTAAGGGGGCGCTCTCTCACACAACCCACGATAAAAATAAAAAAAAGAACATCAACGGACCCCAGATTCTCTCAAAGGTTCTTATCGCCTGAAGACTCGGGAGGGAAGGAAGGGAGGAAGGGGGGTGTGACAATGCATCTAACGGCGTCTCTTAGCTGTGACACAAAGATGGATGACCATAAATGATGTAGCAATTGCAGACGAGACTCGACCAATATCCTAAAGGTCCTTAGAAAAAAAAGAGTGTGTGTGTGTGTGTGTGTGTGTGTGTGTGTGTGTGTGTGTGTGTGTGTGTGTGTGTGTGTGTCCATATTCACGTCGTAGTTTAAGCGAGTCGGTTAGATACGCCCTCACACCTCCAGCCAGGGGGAAGGAGAGGGGAGGGGGAGGGGAGTTTTAAGGCAGGAGGAACTTTTTAAGACTCCAGATGCAGAACTTTAGGGTTTTAAAGGGTCATAAAGTCACCGGTCGTTATATCAGTAGATCTTTAGGCGGGATTTACTTTATTTAAGGTGAAGTAACTTGTATCAATGTTAGTCTCATTATAAACGTGTTCTCTCTCTCTGCTGGACAGGTGGGCTTAAGATAGGTTAAAGGGGACACATTTAAGGTAGAGATAAGGGAGAGATATGATGAGAGATGGAGAGAGAGAGAGACATGTGGGAGATAGAGAGACAAGAAGATAAACAGAGGGTATAGATACAAGATAAAATTGTACAGAGACAAACAATGACACACACAGAGAGAGGAGAGAAGAAGAGACAAGAGAGTGTGACGTACTTCTCGGATAACCAATCTCCAACTAACTGAGAGGCGGGTGGGCGGGTGGGCGTGGGGAGGAGGAGCTAGGGTATGACTGTGATGGAGGAGGGGGTGAGGGCGGGGTGGGTGTGAGGAAGAGGGTGGGGAGGGGAGTGAAGGAGGAGGAAGTGGGTTGAGGGTGGATGGGCGTGAGGGTAAGGGAGAAGGGTTAAGGGTGGGCGTGAAAGGACAGAGGATGCACATCGTTAGGGCACCTGCAATGGGGCAACAGCTGGGGGTGTGGGCGTGGCGGTAGTGATAATGATGGGTTGCAGGGAGTAATGGGCGTAGATAAGATACGGCGTAGGCGAGCGTATGAGGGTTAAAGACAGGAAGCGTCAAGAAGTAATACAGGTGTAAGTGAAGTCTGGTAATTGATGACGGAAAGAAATAAAAATAAGGGTCTCTCTCTCTCTCTCTCTCTCTCTCTCTCTCTCTCTCTCTCGTGAAGGCCGCCACTCTGGAGTTTCAGGACGGACATATCACGTTGCTTAATGAGTAGCTCTAAGTGGGTGAGCCTTTAGCTGTGCCGACCCTCCTTCACAGCTGTTACCGCCCACCCACCCACCCCACCCACCCACCCCACCAGCTCTGGGTACGGGTGGGGTGGGGTGATGTTGGCTAAGGCAGTAGTCGAGTATGGATGATTTATTTATTTGTATTTATTTTTTATTAAACGAACAGAATCACGTGAAAGATCTGGGGGGGTTAGGTTAGCACTAGGTTAGGTTAGCACTAGGTTAGGTTAGCACTAGGTTAGGTTAGCACTAGGTTAGGTTAGGTTAGGTTAGGTTAGCACTAGGTTAGGTTAGGTTAGGTTAGCACTAGGTTAGGTTAGCACTAGGT